CACCCGCTAAAAATGCTCTTTTTACAAACAGCTAATTCAACTGTTTCTGAACTTTTCACTTGCCTTTTAAGGATATTACAAGACCTTCATAGTTCTTGGTCTTTTACTTAGAGGAACCTTGCAATTTCAATTTATTTTTCACATCGCATCACAGCAAATCCATTCCATTTTTACTCGGAATTTATGGGCACGTATATGTATTCATTTAACCTATTAATAATGGCGTGCACTTTAATAAGATGGAATTGTTTTTAAAGGTCCCATATTACGCAAAATTGACTCAAAAACATACCTGGAGTTGTGTTTTTTTTACACATGTTTGAGTAACCGTCTGCATCTCCAAAGCTCAAATTGCTCTGTTCCACCTGTTCCACCTTGTGATGTCATGAAGTGGTAATGTGCAGGGTTTGTGTGTTAAACATGTGTGAATGAAACAAAACACAACTTCAGGTATGTTTTTTTAAGAAGGAAGCATTATAACACAAATCAGAAAACAGTTTAAATTAGGCCATTTAAGTTTATGTATTATTCGTTCATTCGTTTTTCAAAATAAAACTAAAAATAAGAAAGAATTAACAACTACTCAATTTTGTGTTTAAATGAATCATGGAAAAAAACGGATAATGGCTGCTTCCCGTTTCCATGACTTAATTGCAATGCTGGACTTTTGCGCTGCAAATGGACTAAACCAGGACTAAACCAGGACTAAGCCAGGACTAAACCAGGTCTGAACCAGGACTAAATCAGGACTGAGCCAGTACTGAGTAAACCGGTCTCAATCCTGGTCTGATCCCAGTCTGGTCTTGATCTCAGTCCTGGTCTGGTCGTGTCTCAATACCGGTCTGGTCCCGGTGTGGTCCCAGTCTCAGTCCCGGACTCAATCTGATCACCGGACAGTCCCGACACTCAGTCCTGGTTTGGTCCTGGTCTGGTCCCTGTCTCAGTACCGGTCTGGTCCCTGTCTCAATCCCGGTCTGGTCCCTGTCTCAGTCCCGGTCTGGTCCCTGTCTCAATCCCGGTCTGGTCCCTGTCTCAGTCGGGGTCTAGTCCCTGTCTCAGTCCCGGTCTGGTCCCTGTCTCAGTCCCGGTCTGGTCCCTGTCTCAGTCCCGGTCTGGTGCCGGTCTGGTTCGGGTCTCAGTTCCAGTCTCAATCTCGGTCTGGTCTCGGTCTGATCCTGGTCTCAGTCCTGATTACCCAACAATCTACGTGGGAGCACATTCCGGGCTCGTCCCGATACTCAGTCCTGGTTCAGTCCTGGTTCAGTCCTGGTTCAGTCCTGGTTCAGTCCTGGTTCAGTCCTGGTTTAGACCCGTTTTAGTCCTGGTTCAGACCTGTTTTAGTGGTGTTTTAGTCATGTTTTAGTCCTATTTTAGACCTGGTTTAGGCCTGTTTTAGTCCTGGTTTGGTCCTGTTCAGTCCTGGTTTAGTCCGTATGCGACTCAAAAGTCCGGCATCGCATTTTAAATGGGAAACGTACGTTATCCATTTTGTTCACTATTCATTTAAACACAAAATCAAAAACTGGAAAAAAAACAAAAAACAAAAAAAACTGTTATCCATTTTTTTCATTTTAGTTTTGGAGACAAATAATGCAGAAAATAGTTGTTGTTGTTTTTTTGTTTTCTTATTTTTGGTTTTATTTTGAAAAACAAATGAACAAATACTACACACATTCCTTTAAAAGTCCCATATTACGCAAAATTGACTAAAACCATGTTCGAATTAGAGATAGATAAGGCTAAAGCCACACAGCGGAACATCTGATTTCAAGCCATGTCGGTAATTATGATATTTACAATTTTTGCAGTGAGTTGGTTTACGTTTTAGGACACACACGCGCAACCAACAAAGCTGCGTAAATGCTATCCCTCTAAAATCTGGCACTCGCGTCAGTTGACTTTAGCCAGAGGAGCCATTTCATAAAAAAATAAAAAAATAAATTCTGAGTTAATCGTGTAAACAACGCCACAAACAAACGTCGAAAACCACTGCAAACAAAAATAAAACAACTTTGGAAAGCTGGGCACGGAATCGCCTTCAGAGTTAATTTTAAAGTAAGCATTTCGCTCCTTGGAGATTTTAATTAATGCTTTAATATGCAAATAAGTTAGCGGAGATAAAATCATGACAAACAGATGGCAAGTGTGGGTAATTATTTTGTGAATCCAGCAGGGGCATGTATTAAAGTTATGGCATCGTTTTCCTCGGGCCTTCGTCGAGATAGAAGGTGCAGGAGAGAGGGGAGAGGAGGAGAGAAAGAGAGAGGAGAGAAAGAGAGATGTCTGATGAACTGCAACTTGGTTTGGTTTCCAAGTGACAAATTTGTGACCACACGAATCCGGATAAATCAAAAAAAGACACGTTGTTTATGATGGAAACTCGTCAAGTCATCACCGCTATCTTTTAATTATCGGTTCGATGGCAGTTTGAAAGTAGCGAGAGTCATTTGATCGCCCGCAGTGTGAAAAAGGCGAGTTAGACTGTTCGTTTTTTTGGCAATGAGGATTAAGGAGGTAAAATTTAGCTTGAAATGTCTGATAACGAAACTGAGCCAAAACCTGTTTAGCTAACTACAGATGTTTCTTTCAGTGTCTGCACATATAAACAAATAGAGATATGCAAGCTTACAACAAAGTCAGAGCTGCTATGTTGAAAAAAAGTTGACGATTTTCAGTAAAAGTAAAGAAATGGTACTACCGATGTGAAAAAGGCCAGTTCGTAGACTGTTCAGTTCAACAATGAGGATTAAGGAGGTAAAAATTTGCTTGAAATGTCTGAAACCAAACCTACAGATGTTTCTCTCAGTGTCTGCACATATAAACAGAGATATGCAAGTTTACAACAAAGTCAGAGATTGAAAAAAGTTGACAATTTTCAGGAAAAGTAAAGAAATTGTATACTACTGATTTGTAGAAAATGGTAAAAGGTTAACTAAATACAGTCTGTAACAATTTGGTATGATACTCGGCACAGATAAGCAGCCTTGTTTGGGTCAGTCTGTCCCAGGGCAGATATGGCGGAGTGTGGAGTGAATGAATAAAAGGTAAATGGTAAATAGTCACATTTTTATACAGCGGTTTTCCACCTTCAAGGCCCTCAAAGCGCTTTACAACAAGGAACCACTCACCCATTCACACACACATCCATACACCAGTGTACACAGACACTAGGGGTGAGGTGGGTTAAGTGTCTTGCCCAAGCACACAACATCAGCAATGTGACAGCAACGACAGTTCAACCAATGATGTTTTATGTCAAGAGCAGGATTCAAACTGCCAACCTTCTCTACCAACAGATCTACAGTGGTCCCTCGTTTATCGCAGGCGTTACGTTCTAAAAATAACCCGCGATAGGTGAAATCCGCAAAATAGTCAACTTTATATTTCACAATTATATCTGTTTTAAGTCTGTAAAACCCCTCAGCACACACTTTATACACTTTTCTCAGACAGGACAGTTACAACCTCTTTTGCATCCTTCTTAAAACTCATTGCTGCTGTCGTCCTTATGTTATTTTCCTCCTTCTTAATGTAACGAACCGAAGATTCATTTATTCCGTAATGGAGCCCTACAGCGCAGAGTCCTACACGGGTTCATTTTTCGAGACCCGCACCTACGCAGTACAGCACCGCACTGCCCGTTAACCCGAGATTATATCAAACTTTTGCACTGCCTACGCCATGAACTGAACCAAGACTAAACCAGGACTAACCCAGGACTGATTCCAGGACTGAAGAGGAGGACTAAACTAGAACTGAAACAGGACTCACGATCAGGACAGGCTCAGAGGTGACTGCAGGAGAAAGGACGGACGGAGAGCTCTGCACCTTACAGAGGTAAATGCGGCAATTGCTCGATCGTGCTTTGCGGACACCCTACTCGAGGGTCCTCTCTCTTAAGTCCAAGATTAGTCCTGGTTTAGACCTGGTTTAGACCTGGTTTAGACCTGGTTTAGACCTGGTTTAGACCTGGTTTAGACCTGGTTTAGATCTGGTGTAGTCCTGGTTTAGAACTGGTTTAGTTCTGGTGTAGTCCTGGTTTAGACCTGGTTTAGACCTGGTTTAGTTCTGGTTTAGTTCTGGAGTAGTCCTGGTTTAGACTTGGTTTAGTCCTGACCCACCCATGTGTAATTACTACCAAAAAAAAACCATGCAAAATTGCACACACAAAAAATCTGTGAAACAGCAAGACCTCAAAAGGTGAACCACGATATAGCGAGGTACGACTGTACTGCCACAATAATGAACTGTAAAGCATCTTTGAGTGTCCAAAAAGCGCTTTATATTAAATGCATTGTTATTATTTTTAAAGTAATTCGCAATCATATATGGCCCATTAAACCTATGTACTTCAACTGTACTTTTACAAGCTGCACATGTCAACAATTACCCTTATGCTGCCAGAAACTTATTTAATGTATTGATTTGCTCTTCACCGTATACATACTATAGTATTAACAACCACGTTTGTGTTTGCTGATTCAGTCGATTCAGCTCAGAGTCGCTGTACCTGATTTTTACGCTCTTAAAAGCAAGAAAAACAGAACTAGTTCAATGGTCCAAAGTTATTCCTCACTTACTTTGTGAATTACAAACGTCCTAATTATTCCCTATGATGAGTTTCTAAGCACAACTTTCAGAGACGAGATCAGACTTTGCAGTGATGGTAAAGTCAGCAACATCTAGCACGGTAACGCGCACTTCTTCATTATCGGGCAATAAAACTTAACTAGATGCAGACAGAACACAACGGTTTTATCTCTACCTCAAGAACTACTACAATGGATCTGTACTGGGGCAAGATGAATTTTGTGGGCCATAGAGACATGCTTATCTGATAAAAGTTGCATCTGCGTGCTGGGTCCAAAGCAACTGTGAGGTCTTTCCTTTTCTGCAAGACTAATTTTGCTGAAATACATGAAAAGAAATTGCATACAGGCTCTTTAAATGATCTTTAAGTCTATATACCTTAAATGTACAGCATCTTTAAGTCCACCCACCTGCTCTGTTGGGGGAGGCTGGTCCACGTGGAGGGTGCCCAGGGAGCGGTTGATCCTCAGGGCCAGACACAGCGCCATGAGACCCCCGAGTCTCACCTGGTTCTGACTCAAGTCCAGAGTCTGGAGGAAACGAGACTCAGCCAGAACCTCCGCCAGAGCCACCGCACCTACACCGCACACACAAAACAGACAGATATTAACACAGTAATTTAAATATCTTAAATTACACAAAATTGACTCGTGTAAGCTTTAGGCAAGGCAAGGCAAGTTTATTTGTATAGCAATTCGTACACAAAGTAATTCAATCTGCTTTACAGAATAAGAAATACATTAAAATCACAATACAAACAAATCAAAACATAAATAGTGATCATAAAATTAAGAAGAGAGAGACATTAAATTAGAGAGAAGAGTGCAGAATGAAAACCTTTCAGTCATATGCACAGCTAAACAGAGCAGGTTTGAGCCTGGATTTAAACAGCATCAAAATAGAAGCTTGTGTCACATGTTCAGAAAGATTGTTCCAGTTTTAGTTGCATGAATCTGAAACGCTGACTCCTCATGTTTGGTCCTGACTCTGGGCACCAGCAGGAGCCCGGTCCCTGAGGTCCGCAGAGTGCAAGAAGGTTCATATGACGCCAACTTTAAGCTGCATTATAATGGTGTTACCTTCTCAAAAACATACCTGGAGTTTTGTTTCATTCACACATGCTTGAGTAATCCTATATTATTAGTCTGTCTACATCTTCAAAGCTCAAAATGCTCTGTTCCACCTCGTGTTCACAAGTTCTCAAGTTCACAGCTGCTTTTTACCTTTAGTTCAGCAGAGGTTGGCAATTTCTGGGATGAAATTACCCCCCAAATGATTCTAGTGAAGATTTAAAAACACAGTGAAGCACTTCCTACTTCCACATGACATCACAAGGTGGAACAGAGTGTTTTCAGTCTGAGAGAAGAACTCAGCCTCAATATGCAGATTTTGTGTATAAAACGTGTGCGAATGAAACAAAACACAACTCCAGGTCTGTTTTTGATGAAGAACATTATAACATAGATCAGAAAATAGCATGATATGGGCCCTTTAATAAATCATGCTTTCTTACCTTCACATGTGATGGCGGTCTGAGCCAGGCCAAGCTGTAGTAGGGAGCAGTTTGCCATCAGGGGCTCTCTGATGATGTGGACTCCTTCGTTTCCCAAAAGGTTTTCCCCCAAATCCAAAACCTGGAGCCCTCGAATCACTGGCTGGAAACAGACATTACAAAACACACAATTTCAGCATAATAATATTTTTTTCAATTACTTCAGAGAGGTTGTTTTCAGGGATCTACTGATAATTACATAAGGGTGAGCTGTTGTAGAGTTGTATACTTGGACAAAATGTAATGAGATAATATGGGGAATGGTCATTAAAGGCACTGTACCTAATTTTTATGAATGATTAAACAGTTTGCAGTGGCCCAAAGTTATAACTTATTTACCTTATGCATTCTGAGTATCCTAATTATTTACTGCAATGAGTTTGTAAGTGCTTTTCTCAAGACCAGAGAGGGGTTTTGTTGATAAAACTGACAATAAATAGCACGCTAACTCAAAAAAGTAACAGTAATAACAGTAAATGTAAAGAAAATGTATTAAAGGACTCATATTATGCTATTTTCTGATCTACAGTATGTTGTTAATGTTGTTTCCTCGTCACAAATATACTTGGAGTTGTGTTCTGTTTCATTCACACATGTATGTTCTTCTCAGCTTCTCAAACACTCAGTTCCACCTTGTGATGTCATGTGGTAATACAGGAAGTGCTTCACTGTGTTTTTAAACAGCATACACCTTCACAAGAATCAACTGTATGATTTCAGATCTGGAATTGCCAATTTCAACTGAACTAAAAGTAAAAGGAGCTGTTAACTTGAAAACTACTGCTTCATGACATCACAAGGTGGAACAGAGCATTTTGAGGTTTGAAGATATAAACAGACTAATAATGCAGGATTACTCAATTATGTGTGAATGAAACAAAGCACAACTCCATGTGTGTTTAGCAAAATATAGGACCTTAAATGTTTATAGTCTTATGTTGAATCTTCTTACCAAAACCAAGGGCGTAGGTTTTGTCTCAGTTTTGGTGGGGACATTATCATTACCCCATTCGGCCCCCCCATGAAACCAACTGATAAGTTACTTCATTAACAGATTGTTTACTTTTCGAACAATACATACTGCAAAAACTAAACACCACATCGCAAAATGTACAATTTGTGGTCATTGTCCTTCTAAGGTGCTTTTTTTAGTGGATAACAGCGATGTAGAAGTTTGTAGCAGATTTCCCTTTACTTATTGGTGATGAGATATTTGTGAGATAATGTCCGAACATTTTTCCATGGAATATTGTCAATAGAGTCGGGCTGCTAAAAGCGCACAAGTAAGGCTCCGTTTGGGAGGTGCATTTATGGCAATAGTCACTCTTTTTCTGCAGCGACTCTTTATAAGGCAAGTTTAATTGAAGATGAAGCCAAGTAAGTTCCTTTTGAAAAGTTTTTCAAAGTTTGGTGCAGCGTCTTCACTCACACCTGCTCAAGCCGCCACTTTGGGTGCGGCACTGTCCTGCCACTTCCCCAGTTTAAGGTCCAGGGTCCACTAATGACATCACTCTGTTACAGTCAGTGAAATAGCGGCAGTCATAACCATGTTGTTATATCACTGAATACATCTCAGAATGTCTAATAAACAAAATGTGAACTAAAACGTGTTCAAGTACTACTTTTGAGTCTGGAAAAATATCTGAATAAATGTATATTTTTGTTCATTAAAATAAGATGGCAACTATTGGTAGGGACTATTTTGTCTTCCCCAAATATTGGTTGTGACATGTCCTCACCGTCCCTAGGCAAACCTACACCCTTGACCAAAACACTTTAAAAATGCATTTTGTTGTTGCCAATTCACCATAATATTTCAGAACAGTTAGAGTCTGAATTGTCTTTGTCTGGTTAGTAAACAGCTAGTATCCACTCTAGCTCATCCTCTTCCCATTTCCAGTCTGAGTAGCTTTAATCATCATTATTATTACCCGGTGATTATTTTTCCTTCCCTAACTGTTTTCCTCTCATGTTAAAACCGCTCAGAAGTTGTGTTTTCAGTCTCTCGAGTCACATTAGCGGTGAAGGTTGATTAGATGGAGCGTAAAGCTGCATTAGGGAATATTTTGGTAGCACTGGGGAACTCTTGCTTTGCCCCAACAGCCAAAACACCCACGACTTTTTGCTTGGCCACCCCTGCTCATCTCCTCTGGTCACAGCTCGACACAGTGGAGCAAGGGGGCGGATAGACAGGAGATCATTTGCAGTACTGAAAAAACAATACAAATCTCCATTTCTGTAAATAGACCGAATGGGCTGAAGCAGTTTAAAGGCAAAAATGGTTTAAAAGCGACTAAAAGCTCAATATGTCCCTTCTAGTCCTGGTTGAGTCCTGGTCTAGTCCTGCTTTAGTCCTGGTTTAGTCTTGGTTTAGTTCTGGTCGAGTCCGGTTCAAGTCCTATTCTAGTCCTGGTCTAGTCCTGATCTAGTCCTGCTTTAGTTATGGTTGAGTCCTGTTCTATTCCTGGTCTAGTCCTGGCCTAGTTCTAGTCTAGTCCTGGTCTGGATCTGGTTTAGTCCTAGTCTAGACCTGGTTTAGTCTTGGTTTAGTCTTGGTTTAGTCCTGGTCTACTTCTGGTCTAGCCCTGGTCTAGTCCTGGTCTAGACTGGGTCTAGACCCGGTCTAGTCCTGGTTCAGTCCAGGTTTAGTTATGGTTGAGTCCTGTTCTAGTCCTGGTCTAGTCCTGGTTTAGTGCTGGTTTAGTCCTGGTCTAGACCCGGTCTAGTCCCTGTTTAGTCCAGGTTTACTTCTGGGTTTTGTCCCCTGTGTTTTAATGTGCTGATGTGAAAGCGGAGTATCTCCTCTGGTCACTGCTTGGAACAGTGGAGCAAGGGGGCGGAAAGACAGGAGATAATTTGCAGTACAGTAAAAACAAAACACTTTTTTCTATTTCTGTTTTTTCTATTTCAAACGGCGTAGGAGATTTTCGGGGCAAGGATTGAGGCGGGAGAGGAGCAGGGGAAGGAGAGGGTCTCAAATGGGTATGCACATGGGATAATAGCAGACAATTAAAGAGGCGAATGCGTGGCTGAGAATGCGCGAGAGTCAAGCTTGGTTGAAACCTGTCAAACGTAAGACCGCGGGGGGGTTGGAGTGAGAAGTTTGAGGGGGGAGCAGAGTGTGAAGGCACCGCTAAAAAACTGTTGTTCACACATGACACGCCGCAAGGAAAAAGCACCAGAAATATAAAAAGAAGTCAACAAATCCTCATATTACTGTAATGGACATATTATTAAAGAGACTACACGGTTAAAATTGATCTAGGAGTTTGCAAAAATATACAAATATCATGAATATATTGTGAAATTTGATGACACTATATCAATATCATGGGCTGCTGTATCAGTATATCAACATAAAGAGCTACAATTGCCCTGATTGGAGAAAGTAAACTTGTTTTTACTTTTTACTATTACTTCACTACATTTGAGAGCAGGTATGTGTACTTTCTACTCCGCTATATTTTTTAGACTGAACTAAAATGTAAAGTATTTGTTTATTTATTATTGTCTGAGATCTGCTGAAAAGGCTTGTAGTTTGAGCAGAAAAATATTTACAAATCAAAACAACCAGGAGAAAACATGAATTCAATTAAATTCTTTATCAAAATCACTATATTTGAAGCTTTATAAGACTTCAAAATCTACGTAAAATATTTTTACTTTTTACTCTTTAAGTGCATTTTTAAACAGGTACATTAATAATTTTACTAGTCCTGGTCTAGTCCTGGTCTAGTCCTGGTCTAGTCCTGGTCTAGTCCTGGTCTAGTCCTGGTCTACTCCTGGTCTACTCCTGGTCTACTCCTGGTTTTGCAACAGTTTTAATGTGGTAAATGAAAGCATACTAAAACCGGTTCGAGTACGGGTAAGTGCATTTTATCTAACACATCTGACCCATCCTTCTGTATAATCACAATGATTTATTCCCCAAATAATCTTGACAACACAGTGCAGACCCTTACTTGTTCTGCTTTAGTCCTGGTGCAGACCCTTGCTGAGACCTGACCCAGAATCTTGGTCAAGGGCACTTTGCTGTACAGTACTTTTACAGTGTCCATATTTAGGTTAATTTTTAAGCTTGATATGCGAAAATGCTCGAAAATATGATTAAAAAGAAGAGAGAAGAGGAGAGCGGAGAAATTAGAGCATAAAAAAATAAATCCCTGTGGTCTTCTTTGTGCCCAGCGAGTCAAGAGGACAGGACAAAAGTGCATACCATATCCACCAATGAGAAAGGTTAATTACAGCTCTCCTCTTCATCATATTCGACAAGACCAGCTTTAATTATCATCATTACGGCCTGCAAGGACATCTACTTATCTCCATGACTGGCAGGCCACAAGAGCTCCCCTCTTTAACATGCATCTATTATTGAATCAAGTGTTCTTTTGGTAGCAGTGAATAGGACAAGACCAGTGTAAATGTGTGTGTGTGTGTGTGTGTATATGTGTGCATGTGTGTGTGTACTAGGACAGGGCGTTAATTTCTAGCCTTTTGACTTGTACAATCGCCATTCACATGACAGTAAGGTGCCGTTTATGGTGCCAATCAAGCAGAAGGAATGCATGTTATTAGGAGAGGAAAAAAAGAAGAAGTAGTGAAGAGGAGGGATATTTTCAGAGAGGATCAAGTCCAACGAAGACTCCTAAAGAACACGTATTACCGTATTTTTCATGGTTTGGGTGTTTCCTGCGACTTATACTCCGGTGTGACTTATATATTAAAATTTTCAGACTAACAGCTGCAAGAGGCTCTACGCTGGTGTGTCAGTATCTAGTACTACTATTACTCCTGTACCACTGTCATTTCGCACGCTACTGCGCATGTCTCCTGTAGAAATAGCTTCTGTCTCATTGCAAATAGTGAAATATTCAGCTGAAAACGGTAATCGAGCAGCAGAAAGAAAGTTTAGAGTGAGCGAGAAAATTGTGAGGGACTTGCGAAAAGCAGGGATGGAGAACAAAGCTTCACGATAACCGGGAGGGTGCACCATGAAACTCTCCTGGAAGTCACTGGATGAATCATCAAAGTCTTGAACTTCAATGACAATCGAAACCATCCTGTCGGGATTCAGAAAGGCCGGAATAATTCTAACTGGAACTGATGCTAATTCTGACCACAGCTACGCAGAAGAGGAAGTGGCGCTCTGTTTACCTCATGGATCTATGGTTTACCTCCGGAGGTCGTGCAAAAGTGACACCGAGGATGAAGAATTTAATGCATTTAGTGATTTGGAGTGAGATTGTGAGTTTGGTAAACTCATGTTATTTTGTTTATGCTATAATTATCTGAATAACTGTTCATATGTTACATGATTTATTACTATTATTGTTATGATTAAATATTATTTATATTAATGACTATTCCGCCTGTTGTTTTCTATTCTATTTTACTATACATTGCCTTTCAAAATGAAATGTCGGGTCCTGGTCACTGATTTTATAAAATACATTTCCCCAAAAAGTGTGACTTATTGTCCGGTGCGACTTATGTTTTTTTTTCTTCTTCGTTGTGCATTTTTTGACTGGTGCAAATTATACTCCAGAGTGACTTATAGTCCAGATGCCAAATCTGACTTTTTTGAGATTCCAACCACATTATAAGTTTGTTTCCTCATCATAAATGAACCTGGAGTTGTGTTTTGTTTCACTGATGCTTGTTTGATGAATCTTTTGCGGTAAGTCACCTGCCCATGAGTAATTACAAAATACATAGTTTTGAATTTTACTAGGATTTACGTCACAGGCAGTTTTTAAGTCCATAAATCACCACCAGGCTAGTTCTACATATTTCTGATGTCAAATCGGGGTTGAGGCTTGTTCCTTAATTTGAAAAAAAAGTAGATGGAGCCATACAAGATTCCAGTATCAGAAGTGCCCAGATTGGAAAATAATGCCTGGTTTTATACATGGAAATTATTCTAAAGGGCCCATATTACACTATTTTCTGATCTATGTTATAATGTTGTTCCAAATATACCCAGAGTTGTGTCATTCACTCATTTTTTAACACATAAACCTTGCATAATATTTAGGTTGAGTTCTTCTTTCAAACTGAAAAAAACTCATGAACTAATACAGGAAGTGTGCCACTGTGTTTTTAAACATCATACACCATCACTAGAATCATTTGGGTCATTTCAGCCCTGGAATTGTCAAAATACTGCTCTACAACACTTAAATTTTAGGATTTTGAGCTTTGAAGATGTAGACAGAATAATAAAGGATTACTCAAACATATGTAAATGAAACAAAACTAATATAATACAAAAAAATAAAATACAAAATCCAGGTAGGTTTTTGAGGAAATAACAATATTATAACATGACTTAAAGCTCACAAGACTCAATTTTATGTAATCTAAGAGCTTTAAATTCTAAAATCCAAACCAAGGTGCTAAACTAATACTAATACTAATACTAATAAAAATATTTTAAAAAATGCATAATATGTGTCCTTTCATTTAATCAGCAGCAGATGAAGCAGGTATCAAATGGACAAAAGGAGTGATTTGGGTAAAGTCTGAGCATAGGGATAGGGATGTGAAAAATAATTATATTTCTAAACAACAAACACAGAATTTGGATTAAAAATGATTAAATGATTTCAAGTTTTGAATGAACTGCATCTGCTAGTTCGCACTTTGTCGACACAGGTGGGATTTGGGGGTACAGAATGTGATTTGAGACATTAAAATTAAACATGGGAAAATTACAGAAGCAGTAATTTGATTGAACAAAGAATTGCTTACCGAGAAATTCATGTGTCCCATATTACCACAAAATTGACAAACAAATAAAAGACTCTCTTATATTTATTTTCCATATATCAATACTCAGTCTCAGTTAATGCAGGGTATCCCCGAGTTTGACTACCCCAAATTTAAGACTTTTTAAGACCACTTAAATGAAAATAAAGACCAACATCGCACCCATTATACGGGCGAAAAATACCAGGTCTAACTGTAACAATGACCAAACAACTGCCGGTACTATATCTAGAATCTAAGGCTACATTTATATGACGACAGTGCGAACAGAAGACACAAAAATGGCGTAGCATCTTCACTTTTTTATTCCGCGTTTAGACAAGCGTTTTCGGGAGAAAATCTGTGTGAATTGGATTGGGTGTGCATGTCAGGCGGCTCGGTGGTGATGTATGTAACGTAAACACGTACACGACGTGAGCAGATTTGACCAGAGTTTAGCGTCTTGGGCAATGTAGACGGAACTGATTGTTTACTCATTGCCGCCAGCGCCAAAGTATTGTTTGTGCATACTCCAAATAGACGTATATTCACATTACGTTATTTCATGTTTTTGTTTTTTTCCCCTTCCTCCATTTAACATTGCACTGCAGCCCGGTTGAGTATACAAAAAAACAGGCTAATGAAATTTAAGACATTTGTGAAAAAAATAAGACTTGGACAACATCATTTAAGACTTTTTAAGGCCTTAAATTAGGAACATGAAATTTAAGACCTTTTTAAGACTTTTAAGACCCCGCTGCTACCCTGTAATAAACCACAGCAACTGCCAGTCACCGTGGAGAGGTGCTTGTTTTGCCTGGAATGCTGCACAGTATGGTATACCGTAGACACCAATCATATGCAGCTGAATAAATGCAAGATAAATAGTTTAATGCTGTACTGTGGAACATTCAAGACTTTTTTTTTCCCCCTGAGTCTGTGGGAAAAAGAAGGGCAGACCCCAAATCCAAAATGTTACACAGTGCATCTTTAAGTCATTAAGGCATGAAGTTCTGAAGAGGGCCAGCAACTCTACCACTATAACTTTTCTGGTAGAGGGCCTGTCAGTTTCTTGTCTCCATGGAGAGGTTATTGCTTTACCTTCCAAGTATGACATTCAACTTTTCAATCTCCATAGAAACAATGCAAGGGCTCCACCCAGAGCAGTTTACAGGTGAGATCTGTGTAGAGGCGACCCCACTCACAGTCAGAAAGCATTTTTTTTAAAGGTATTTTTGCATAGTAATGGAATAAATGCATCTTATATAAGTTTGATATCATATTGTGGAAGATTACAGGCAAAGAAATAGCATCTCCATGGTAGCGGACCCCAATCGGAAAAGTTACGAAGTGCACCTTTAATGTAGACAGGTCAGGTAAATTCTAAACTTTTCTATTCAAAAAGCAATTACATTTGAATGATGTAACAATTTTGCTCTTACCCAAAACTGGCTATGCTAAACAGAATGACAGTTTGAAAGAATATGGTTTCATCATTGTAACAAACAATAACTTTAAAGATTGGAAATATAAGTGAAATAAGTTTAAAGATTGGAAATATAAGTGAAATCATCCCTTTTTTTTGAATGTCAACCAAAATCACCTGCATTACAGAATATTTCAGAATTGGACCTACAAAATATGTACAGAATACTTAAATGATTGTAGGCTTTTCGATTTGCTCATTGTAAAACAGTGATTAAATTTGAATTCATATTTTCAAATTAGCTGTGTGTTGCTTTACCAGTGCTTTGGCGAGGTGCCGCATGCCTTTTGTAGTGATCTTGTTGTTTCTTAGAAGAAGAACCTTGAGCCCGGTCACCTGCCATTTCAACCCATCACAGAGTTCCTCCAAACCTGGGGAAAAAATAGACAAAAGTTATTCAAGCAGGTTTGGCGACAATATCAATACTCAAAAAGCAAATCAATAAAACTAGTACTGAAGGTAGAATTGTTTGTTGAGAAGTAGTAAGATCATAGGGTGAAATTAAAAAGGGTCCTGCTTGTTTCTATGGAGATGCCATTGCTCTGCCTGAAATGTTCCACGGTTTGACATTAACAGCTCTGTCTTACATGTATTCAATTACAGGTGGTTTTACTGCTCAATAATACCTAGAAAAACAGGCATTATGACTCTGCCTCTCCACAGATCTGACCTGTATCTCGGTCTGGTTTGGTCTCCATGAAAGTAGAAAGGTTTAATATCACAATGTGCAATATTCCAGACAAAGCAATAATGCCTCCATGAAGAAAAGCATCTGTCCAGCTCTCCACTACAAAAGTTACACAATACACCTTTATATTTCTTGAGTCAAAATTACTTGCCTATAGAAGCAGTAAAGGAGTTCATTATTAGTAGCCTGATTAATCAGCTGGTTTCACTTTGTGGAAACTGTCTGACCTCGCAGCATTAAGGATTCGTTCGCTCGACGATAGGCAGGTTTTTTTTTTATTTAACCAGTCGCTGCTATTTGGTCGTGACGTATGTTATGCACCGTTAACGGGGCTAACTGGTATATTAAGCTTTTCCCTTCTCGTAGGAAGAAGGACAATAACGTCTTTCCCCTGGATAAAATTCACCAAACATTCTCTTTGTTCCAGGTTTAAATCCTCGATCTCAGGAATAGTTGCCAACACAGAATGTATGGCTTCGTCTACATCCATCTTGACCACTTTGTTTACTGTTGTGCTGTACCACAAAAGTCAGGCATGGCTTCACAGCTCTTCTCTGATTGGCTGATGCGCGGTCTACATAAACCATCTACTGTATTCAGATTCCTGACCTAGTCGCTGGACAGAAATGAAATTGAGCAGAGGCACTAGGTGGCACCAGCCTGGCTTCACTATTAGGGCTGGTTACTCAGAATAATTGTGACTATGGAAATAATCATAACCATACTTTGATAATAGTTATGGACTTTATATAGACTCTAAAACACATGCCCAAATTACTGAGAAAGACAGTGGTATTATTAAATCAAAACCTCCAAAAAAGAATAAACAATTTCTAATATTCATCAACAATACACGTAACTCTCAAATATTCTCTATCTGGAAGCTTTCAGTCACCATATTTCAACATTTATTTGGTTAAAAATATGTAAAAAATCATAAGCTGTAGCCCTATTCATTATACAGAGTGGGTTTTATTTCTTAGTGATTTTGTTTCTTAGTGGTTAGCGTATCAAGCTATATTCTTATCTACATTTGAATATTGTCAGAGCACATTAGAGTAATCAAATGTAACTTCTCCATATCTTATAGTTTGGAAACTTCTGGAAATTCAAAGACAGATGTTTAGTGGGAGTGTGGAAGTCTGTGTAATCTATAGCCCTTCTACACTGTAAATATGACAAAATTAGACAATATTTATGATGAGCACGGTGACCCCGCCCACAATGTTTACTGTGAAAGAAGTCACTATAAAAAATACAAAACTGACATGTACAAATGTGTCTTACTAAAGGGAAATACTACATGTTTTGCAGTATTTAATTTACACATTATGAAAAACAACATCAAAACCATAAATTAGTATTAAAAAGCAATTAGCACCATATGAACAAACTTCTTTCCATAACAATAAATTGCATCTGTGGAAAATTTTTCTGTATAGGTCTTATTTTTGCATGTGTGAATTATAATTTACCGGCATCAGATATGAAGTTGTGGCTAAGCTGGAGAGTGCGTAGCGTGCAGTTGTAGCGCAGCAGGTCTCCCAGCTGCAGTGAATCCTGGAAACTGTTGAGCTGGTTGTGACTGAGGTGAAGTTCTTTGAGGTTTCCATTGGATTTGAGGGCGGTGACTGAAAAACAAACAAAACAAAATATATTTCAGAATTATTAAAGGTTAGGTAGGCTATGTTACGCAAAATTGATTCTTGTGAGCTTTAAGTAATGTTATAATGCTGTTACCTCCTCAAAAACATACCCACAGTTGTGTTTTGTTTCATTCACATGTTTGAGTACCTTATTTTTCAGACTATAAGTCATACTTTTCTTCATGGTTTGGGTGGTCCTGTGACTTATACTCCGGTGTGACTTATATATTAAAATTTTCAGACTGACAGCCGCGAGAGGGCACTCTAGGCTCATGTGCCAGTACCTAGTACTACTGTTACTCCTGTACCACTGTCACTTCGCACTCTACTGTGTATGTCTCCTGTAGAAAAAGCCACAGTCTTGCTGCAAGTAATGAAATATGCAGCCGAAAATGGTAATTGAGTTTGGAGTGAGCGAGAAACTTGTGAGGGACTGGCAAAAAGCTGGGATGGAGAACACAGCTTCATGGTAAACGGGAGGGTGCACCATGTAACTTTCCTGGAAACCACTGGATGAATCGGCAAAGTCTGAACTTCAATGACAACCAAAACCATCCTGTTGGGATTCAGTTCAATTCAGTAATTCTAACTGGGACTGATGCTAAGTCTGTTGACAGCTACGCAGAAGAATAAGTGGCGCTCTGTTTACCTCATGGATCTATAGTTTATCTCCGGAGGTCATGCAGAAGTGACACAGATGATGAGGAATTCAATGAATTTTGTGATTTGGAGTGACATCGTGAGTTTGGTAAACTTATATTATTAAAAGTGTGATTATATAGTATATATTATAGTCCGGTGCGACTTATAGTCTGGAAAATACGGTAATCCTTTATTATAAGGATGTTTACATGTGATATTATGTAAGTGGTAGTTTTCAAGTTAACAGCTATAAATTTGTTCAGTAGAGATTGTCAATTCCAGGGCTGAAATTATCCAAATGATTCTAGTGAAGGTGTATGGAGTTTAAAAACACAGTGGAGCACTTCCTGTACTGTTTAGTTTGAGAGGACACAGCCTAAATATGCAGGATTTGTTTGTTAAACATGTGTGAATGAAGCAAAACACAACTCCAGGTTTGATTTTGATGAGGAAATAACAAAATAGCATAATATGGGCAATTTAAACGTTTACAGGAAGAAATATCAAAAGACTAAATTGAATACATTATAATAGTAGTAGTAGTAGTAATAGTAGTAGTAGCAGTTGCAGTAGTATGTAGTAATATCTCTTGGTAAATGATATTGACAAGGACTTTATATTTGTGTACTGGTGTTGTCTTTCCTGCAAACACAGCACAGCCTCCTTCCACTTCTCGTGTCTGAGACGGGATTAAGCCCCAAGTGTGAATAAATGAATGCTTTATTTGGCATGTATATTGTTCCACATCCTAATATAAAGACCACTGGGTTGTGACTGTGATGGACTGATTGATGGAGAGTGGACCAGAGCATGAAAAAGAGCGCACAGCAGGGGGCGCCGCCTGCTCCAATTATAGCAGTAAAAATGAAGTGTCCCTCTGTCCCCACAAAGCCCTGAGTCAATGCTCCGGTGCAGCAGCTATTGTCAAAGCTGTTCATTAGCGTAGTCCATCAAAGCGCTGAAATGTTGTGTGCACACCTTTTGTATTTAAGCTCTGTGTACCGCGGGCATTTCTGAGCACATGTGTCCGTGCTGGTCTGCCCCGCGTCCTGATCGATGCTGCAGATTTGATGGAGGCTGGTGGGTGCAAGTGGAATGCCAACATTGTCATCAGGCACAGTGGGAACCAAATGGTGAGATCGGTGGCATTGATCCGCTCGACTCCACTGTGAGCGCCCAATCCTGCAATCAGAGGCCTCTCCGATCGAAAGCAATGATCCTGAGCCCGGACCCCCCGCGGCGAAGGGAAGGGGAGGGCGAGGGAGCGAGGCGTGCGTGGACCACAGAGGAGTGTAGGTGGGGCGAGCTTTGAGACCCAAAAATATAAAAGAGATCCAGAGCGCAGAGCAAAATGTTGGTTTGAGGAACAAGAGGCTGTTGGGACAAGTGGGCGGCACACTGCGTCCATTTGGATCTGTCTCAGCTCCCAGCTGAGAGAGGAGAGGCTGCACTCTACGCTGATTCTTCTTTATGTCGAACAAGAAAGAAATATGAGAATTTAATATATTTTTATTCAGCAGAGGGGCCAGCACAAATGGCAGTATTATAAAATATTAAATGACTCTAATTTTGGTTTCCTTCCTTCTGCTTTTCAGATAACGTCCTTTCATACAAGTGCTTTACATCTGTGACTTTAAATGGGAAGGTAAAAGCAAATATATTATACTTTGATTATGATCAAATAATTATTTAATTTGTAATTCAGACCAAGAACAGAACAGAACAGGACAGTGGAGCTTTATAGGCATAAACTGTACATATATATAAATGGCCATAACTAACACGCAGGAGGAAGTAAGCATAGGGACGCTTCCTCTCCATCAACTCTGGCTCCAACTGACTTGCGCTGGAAAACTGTCACACCTCTCTCTGTATCTGCTGTAGTGATGCTCATCAATTTGGTTTTAAAATGTTCGTATTAACCCGCTCTACATGTCCCTGGTGTTTTTATTTTCTGCTATTTTGTCTGTTAATAAATTCTTATTGTTAATATGGGGCCTGGTTGCAAATTCGCCCCTTTAACCGTGAGCATCGTGAACTTCAGCTGAACACTATAACCTCCCTTAGTCCACTTCTTCATACAGACTGTTTACAATGTGAGAAAAGACACATACTAAAGACTTGTTAACATATTCTATACTTGAATAGAGCATTTACCCCTGAACCGGCAGTTTGAGCCAAAGACTCTTGGTGTGTGTGAGAGTGTGGGTGACTCCAGGCTGCCGGTGCCTTTATGAGTGCAGCGGTGTGTAAAGTGACAGAGGAGAGATTAGACCCTTAATCCTGGTCCGACACGCAGAGAGGGGCCAGGGTCAAAATCTGGACCTGCTGCTCTCAGGACACGAAAACAACCTCCACCTCCGCAGTCCCCACATGACCGGGTAAAGACGCAAAAAACACAAACAAACACGCACAAACACACACACTCACAATAGAGATGCCTGTGTAACTCTATGGGAGATTCACAGCTTTGCAAGAAATGTCCAAACGTATCCTTATTTGTTAGGGGCAAAGTTGCCATTAAAGACGTATCAGTCTCATGGCAAGCGCTTTTATCTGATGGGCACGTTTTGGGGCTGAATAATGCAACCACTTTCTGAAACTGTTGTAAAAAAAATTATTTAACTTTGGTTTATTTGCGTTGACAGAGAAGATGTGAAACTTTGTGTCAGTTTTTTGTTTCATGAGGATAGACGCAGTAATTACAAAGATATAGAACCATAGAATCCATCAACTAGTCAGGGATGCACTGTGATAAAGAATGACCTATGGTACTACACCGTCAGAAAACTTTTGAATGAATGTTAAAGATCCTATATTACACAAAGAGGATTTTTGTGTTGCTGTTACCTCATCAAAAATATACCTGGGTTATGTTTTGTTTCATTCACACATTTGGTAAACCAGGGTATCCTTAGGTTTGACTACCCCAAATTTAAGACTTTTTAAGACCTTTTTAAGACCTTTTTAAGACCACTTAAATGAAAATTAAGACCAACATTGCACCCATTATGAAGTGGAAAAAATAAAAATAAAACAGATCCAAATCTAATAATGACCATTACTCACTGCTTTAAATATCAAAAAATACTTCTATTATAAAATCTCATTCAGAACTCATTTATAGTAGTATGCATTTCTTGTAAAACGTCCAAAAAAGCATTCTAACAAGACAAACTAGGTATTGTTTGCGCACACTCCAAATTAGACGTTCATTCACGTTACATGATTTCACGTTGTTTCTTTTTTAACCTCCCTTGTTTAAGATTGCACTGCAGCCCGGTTGAGTATACAAAAAAATAGGCTAATGAAATTTAAGACCTTTGTGAAAAAAACAAGACTTGGACAACATAATTTAAGACCTTTTAAGGCCTTGATTTAAGAACATGAAATTTAAGACCTTTTTATGACTTTTAAGACCGTGCTGCTACCCTGTAAACATCCCCAAAGCTCAAAATGCTATGCTCCACCTTGAGATATCATGAAATGGCAGTTAAAAAGTGAACGGCTACCTTTAACTTTTAGTTCAGTAGAGACTAGCTATTCCAGGACTGAAATTATTGAAGTGATTCTAGTGAATGTATGTATCTATGTATGGAGTTTAAAAGCACAATGGAGCACTTCTTGTATTATCACATGACATCACAAGGTGGAAGAGAGTGTGAGAGAAGAACTCTAAATATGCAGAGTTTGTGTGTTAAATGTGTGTGAATGAAACTAAACACAACTCCAGGTCTGTTTGTGATGAGGAAACAACATTGTGACCTACAGTAGATCAGACATTAGAGAAATATAGGCCTTTAAGACATTCAGTACTGTATTCAGCATGTTAATATCTGCATTGTTTGAACATGAGGGGGAGTGAAAATGCTCTGTGGAAAAGTGTGTGTACCCAGAGTGAAGAGAGGGAGGCCGGAGAGCTTGGCATTGTCCAGGTGCAGCGCTGAGAGACGGCTGGACGCGAGGGCTTTACACAGGGACTGGGAGGGGTAGTCCACCAGGGCCACGTTACACACATCCAACCTGGACAGACGAGTGCTCTGTGATGAGAGAGAGACAGAGAGAGAGGAAGAGGGGGAGAGAGAGGGAGGGAGAGAGTGGGAGAGCGAGGGAGAAAGTGGGAGAGCGATAAAGACGGGGGGGCGGGGTGGAGAGTGAGGAAGAGAGAGGGAGAGATAGAGGGGAGAGATTAAGAGGGGGAGAAAGAAAGAGAGAAGAGAAGAGAGAGACAGGGAGAGAGAGAGAAAGAGGGGAAGAGAGAGGGAGACACAGGGAGAGGAGAGAGGGAGAGAGAGAGAGAGAGAAGGAGGGAGAGAGGAAGAGACGGAGAGGGAGAGAAGGACAGGGAGAGAGGAAGAGAGGAAGAGGGGGAGAGAGAGGGAGGGAGAGAGTGGGAGAGCGAGGGAGAGCGATAAAGACGGGGGGGCGGGGTGGAGAGTGAGAAAGAGAGAGGGAGAGATAGAGGGGAGAGAGGAAGAGGGGGAGAAAGAAAGAGAGAAGAGAAGAGAGAGACAGGGAGAGAGAGAGAAAGAGGGGAAGAGGGAGAGAGAATCAGAGAGGGGAGAGAAAAGAGAGAGAGAGAAAGGGAGACATAGAGCGAGAGAGAGAGAGGAGAGGGGAGAGAGAAGGAAGGAGGGAGAGCGATAGAGGGGAGAGAGGAAGAGACAAAGAGGGAGAGAAAGACAGGGAGAGAGGAGTGAGGGGGAGGGAGGAGAGAGAGAGAGAGACAGGCAGAGATGGAGAAAAAGAGAGGAGAGAGAAGAGAGAGGGAGGGTGGAGAGAGATAGAGTGAGAGAAAGGAGAGTGAGAGGAGAGAGAGGAAGAGGGCAATAAAAAACAATGAACGTGTCAGAGATCTATGGTTCTCAGCTACTTGGGGTCTGTGGCGTCTGAATAAAATAGGTCTGATGTTGTATTGTTTCTTTTTTTTTTTTTTTTTTTTTTCAATGTATAACAATATAATATACAATTAAACATTTTAAAGATGATGAAGCATAAATTCTCCAAATTCCTGTCACTGAAAGTTAATGACTGTTATATAGATGGGAGAGTATGATTCCTGCTTGTCTCCATGGGGGTGTTTTTGTTTTGCATTATGGCATCTAATTTGCATTTATATTTATATTTTATCGCTCAAATTAGGCCTGCCTCTCCACAGGTCTGACCTCTCACTCAGCCTGCGAACCCTCCATCAGAAAAGTTACATAGTGCATCTTTAACTGCTCCTATCTTGATTATTTTAAAGTAATGTTGTTTTGAGTTCAGGGTACACTGGTGGATCACTTTTACTATTACAATTAAAACGATATAATGACTTCAAATACATTTCAAAAGGGAGTTTGTGTTCACATGTTTAATTATAACTTCAAGCACTTCTATAAGAAATATTGGACAGTTCTAAAAGTTCAAAGCCAATCAAAAACCGCACGCTTCATCTTTTTTAACCTCTGCGTTGTAGTTTTGTCATGTTTACAATAAGAGAACTTCTCATCCAGCCCTGCCCTGCTTCTCAAACCCATGTAATGTGCTACAAACTCACTTTCGCAGATGTACACGATCCCAAGGGAGACAGCCTACACCAAAAGATTACAATTCCCCTGCATCAGCCAACCTGCTTTATTAAATGAGCCAGGGCCCTCCAACCCGACGTCGCCATGGCGCTGTTGTCAGAAATGTCAAGATGGGTTGTAGATTCGTAGTACAAAATCATATCCAGTAAGGACGCTGCACCCTGCAAGAGACAGAAAACGTGGCAGAGAATCAAAAAAGAAAAAAAAGAAAAAAAAAAGAAAACGAAAGTAAGGCCCTAAATTTGACAGTAACGTTATGAAGTTCTTTGTGAGGAAAAAATCACCTTTAATCTGATCTAGTGAGAGGCCTGAATATGAAACTGTATTGGAATTGGAAGACGAAGATGAGGAAAATAAGTTTTGCTCATATAAAACTCACATATTTTTCCAGTTGGGCTGCTTTATGCTCCGCGTAGAATGTTCCACAGTATGGCATTAAACTGATCTAATTTTTTGTATTTATTCACGTGTGTTTTTATCACTGAAATTAGCTTTTTTTTCTATGAGCAGGCCTGCTTCTCCACAGATCTGACCTGTAACTTGGTCTGGTGATGTTGCCAGCTTATGTCCATGGAGAGGTAGTTTAAAGTGCGTACAAATGTATTTTACAATTCTCTAATTTCTACTTAGTTTGGTCAGATAATGACTGATATAAATACAAACTATAGTTTTACACAAATCAAGAAGCAATTTTTGAAGAAAAGTTGAAAAATAGGTTGAATATATATATATATATATATATATATATATATATATATATATATATATATATATAATATATTTTTTTTTTTCTGATACTTTAAACCAGGGATGTCCAAACTTTTTTCATCAAGGGCCACATATCTAAACACAGACGAAGCAGAGGGCTGATCGAGGGTCGTAGACCGGTGCTCAATACAGTGAATAATTGAAATAAGTGAATGTTAACACGTTAGAACGAGCCATCAGTCTTTATCCATGCTGAGATCCTCAAAACTACACACTAAATATTAAATACTAGCTTTGTCAGAGTAGATTTTCAAAAAACTTGCAGTAAAAAGTTTGTTTTTATTTGATGCAAGGTAATTTGGGCCAATTCACCTGGAAGCCCGAGGGCCAAGAAACATTTGTCTGAGGGCCGAATTTGGCCCACGGGCCATAGTTTGGGCATGCCTGCTTTTTTCCTTTAATTTTCATTTGTCAAATAATAATTTATGTGAACATTAGATGAGTTTTGACTGCGTATACTACATGATTGCTGAGTAAAAGTAAAAGAATTCCCTTGTTTGATGTCATGATTTCCAACAAGGAAGTAAAATATGAAACAAGGGAAATTACTTGAACACAGTAGCTCACACATCACAATATTATAATAAAAAAAAGAAATGGCAACATTAAATCCTAAATATGTAGCAAAAAATAGCAAGAGACTCGTGGCAAATAAGGCATAATTATATAAATGTACAAATAAAAATAAAATACAGAAGTAAAGTAATAAAAATCTATCTCAGCTTTGAGGTCGTAAGGAAAAACAGTGCAAAGATGATATGATGATTGACAGGACACAGGGTTATCTGTTGCTGTTCAGTTGTATGGAGAAAGTAAGGCCCCAAATTTGACAGTAACGTTATGAAGTTCTTTGTGAGGAAAAAATCGCCTTTAATCAGATCTAGCGAGAGGCCTGAATATGAAACTGTATTGGAATTGGAAGACGAAGATGAGGAAAATAAGTTTTGCTCATATAAAACTCACATTTTCTTCCAGTTGGGCTGCCTGCAGACTGATGAAATCAAAGTGCAGCCATTTGAGCACGGTTTCCAGAGCTTCACAGGCGCGGTGCTCTAATCGCTCACCTAGATGGGAACAGGCAATCAAACACAAGATAATTGGGACGCTGTTTGCTAACAGGCTAAATTGCGTCGCTCCAAACGTGCGTTATCCATTTTTGAAAATTAACATTTCAGCAAAAAATCATGGCAAAACCACTTCCTTTAGAGGCGGCGGTGTGTTTGTATGTTCTTTTAATAATGTGTTTGAGACTTAATCAAAGACAGAGAAAAGGGATAAAGAAAACAGTTAAAGGAACAGTTTTGATTGGACTTCAGGAGTTGACGGCTCAAAATGACATTGATTTTTGTGCGTGCACGAAAAAGATCCATAAACATACAAACTTTTACAACAACAAACTCATTTTCTTGGATGGTCTTCAGGCAAACTGTAAAACTCTACTGCTCTGCTCTTACGATACCATTCAGACCAAATCTAAGTACGGTATGGAAAAGGTTTTGATGTGTGTGTAGATTAAATGTGCACTGTGTAACTTTTTTAGTAGAGAGTTTACCACCTGCTTGTATGGCATAAAACATACTGTATGTTTCTTGCATTTATACAGTTATAGGTGTGTTTGTGGTGCACCAGACTATAAGGCGCATTAAAGGTTGTATGGAGGATTTTTTTTTTTTTTTTGTTTCAAGTTGTCAATGATAGAGGTGCAATTATGATGACCAAAAAAAAGAGAATAAAAATTCATCAACTCTGGACGTGGTGGGCTAAACATTTGCCAATAGATAACGACACTGCCTCGTTATCTGTTAGCTGACAGGCTGTCAATCAATCTCCCTACGTTTCTAGCGTAACTGACTTGCCTGCGCGCCGCCGGTACGTGGTTTACGTACGCCTGTCACGCAGTCCACAGACGCAAGACGCACAGACGCTGTTTACTCCACCAACGCAACAGTTCTTAGCGGCTTTTTTTTGACCTATATCTTCCTCGCAGTTAGCACAAAGTTTGTTGCAATGGCAGACAAGAATCCAGGAGCAGTTAGCCGCAAAAGAAAGTCCGTTTTTGAGGTCGCTGAAAGAAGAAGACAAGGGGAAAAGCAGCGAAGCCAAACTAAGGTGATTCTTGTAAGATTCATTCCAGCGATGGCGCGACTGAAGCAGACGCAGGGTCTAAAGACTGACGCATTGGTCGCCAAATTACTCCTGGACAGGTAACTTCTGCTTATTATGAAAACGTACTTTATTTCCAAGAGCTAGTCAAACGTTTTTCAGGACACGAAAGCGATATCCTATGTCTGAAAACGTAATTTTCAAGGCAAAGAAAGAGTCCGCTTGCTGCTGCGTGTTGTAGCTAGTTCATTCGCACTGAATCTCCGCGCAACCTTCTCTGCTCCCCTTTCCTGCTCCTGTCCCCGCTGCCCGTTCCGCTCTTCCCCCTGCTCCTCACTTCTCCGGGCACGGAATCTCCGCGCACCGCTCCCCTCTCCTCTCTCTCCTCTCTCCTGCTCCGCTCTTCTCCCTGCTCCTCACTTCTCGTCCGCGAACGAAATGTCCGCACACCCGCTCCCCCCGCTCCTCACTTCTCCGCCTTGCCTAACCAACACTGTAGTTAGTTGTTTACAAGTCATGTGCAGCTCACCGGCTGTAAACAAACCTGTTTCTGGCGTAGTGAGGAGGCGGGAGAAGGCGTTTCTACGTAGGGAGCTGTAGGGGAGGGGGGGGTGGTTTCACGCATGCGCAACATTTGAAAAAGGACAAACAGTCGCTGGATTTCTCGTTCCTTGGAAAATCCTCTATACAACCTTTAAACGAATGTGCTGTCTGTCTGGATTGTCGGCGTGTTCGCAGTGACTCAGTTTTTGTCACACTGCACTCGCTTTTTCGATTCGTTCCTCCGTTCCATTCCTCGTCCACATGGAGTGATGAGTGTGGCTGCGCGGTCGCTGTCTGCTCCATGCGTGTTTGCGTGTGCTGAGGCTTTGTACTTTACTGAAGTCGTGCTGGGACACTCGAGTGGATTTGTGTATAGGGCGCTCTGGACTGTGGGGCGCGCAGTCGTTTTCTGATAGGGTTGGAGGCTTAAGAGCGCGCCCAATAGTGCGGAAAGTGCGGAACCTTCTTGCTGTGAGGTGAGAGGGCTAACAGCTAGGCCATGATGATTACTATATCAACTTAGTGTTCAATGTCTGAAACCTAGAACAACAATTTTGAGGGTCATTGTTTATTGTGTGTAATTTATTTTTTTTTTGCACTAGAGTGAATGTTTTTGTTATTTTTTTTTGCCTATACGTTAAGATTTAAATAAGTATGTTTGTTTCATTCTGCTGTTCATTTATTGCAGCTCATGTTTTTAACCATGTTGTACATTTAGAATCGCTTTTGCAGTTTAAAGGTGTATTGTGTAAGTTTTCTGGTGGAGTATCTGCTCTTTTCCATGGAGATGTTATTGCTTTGCCTGTAATGTTACGTACTAAGGCATTAACTTTGACTATTTTGCATTTATCTATGAAGGTGTTTTTATTGCTTGTATATGCATCCTTACCATGAGCGGGCATGCCCCTCCACAGATCTGACCTGTCACTTGGCCTGATCGTACTATCTGCTCATCCCCATGGATACAGAGAAGTCATGTCAGACTGTAGAACATCCTGGCAATAACATCACCATGGATGAAAGCAGGTGGTGGACACTCCTCCATTAATTTACTTAAAAACTTGCGTTCTTACTGAGAGTGGACTGGCACAGATCTGACCTGTAACCTGGCAATATGGCAACACTTGCTGTCTCTGTAGAGCTAAATAAGTGTATTGCCATGCTGTGGAACAGTAGCCTGATTCATCAGCCAGTTTCACTTCGTACAAACCGTCCACCCTCGCAGCCTTAGATTTCGTTCGCTCCACAGTAGGCGGGTACTTTTTATCATTTAACCATTTTTTTATAATTTAATCACTCTTATTTGGTCGTGATGTATGTAATGTGCCGCTAACGGGGCTAACCGGTATATTAAGCTTTTCCAAAATCCCATACAAAAAACAGCAATAACGTCTTTCCCCTTGATGAAATTCACCACTCTCTTTATTCCGGCTTTAAATCCTCGATCTCGGGAATCTTTGCCAACACTGAATATGTGGCTCTTCGCTGATTGGCTGGCCTGACCTGCTGGAGGGAAATGAAATTGAGCAGAGGCACTAGGTGGCACCAGCCTGGCTAGTGGAACAGACCCTCCATCAGAAAAGTTACAGAATGTACCTTTAAGACAAGAAAAACAGCAACACTTGGCACTTAAAATAAGAAACGAAGAATCTGATTGAATTAAAGAAAAACACACTTTGTCCAATGGTGGATCATTTTACTTGTCAAGCTTGTCTACTGAAACAAAGCAAAATGTTCTTAATTTAAAGGTGCACTGTGTAACTTTTTATGGATATGTCACTGCTCTACCTGAAATGTCCCACAGTATGACATTAAACAGCTCTACCTTACATTTATTCAATTACAGGTGGATTTATAGACAAAGCATTCCAGATGAAGCAATAACATCTCCACGGCGAAAAGAAATGACGGACCCTCCACCAGAAAAGTTACACAATGCACCTTTAAGTCATTTTACCTTGATATTGCTTTTTATAGTGCACTAGATTTCAGCTCAAATCTTCAAAGTACCTCGTTTCGTCTCTCCATGCGTGTGTACAAGTGTGTAATATGATTTTGCGTGTACATGTGTCTGCTTCAGTTACAGTCAGTTAATGTGATTATTATTGACCCCGAGTCCCAAATCAAACTGTGAAACGATGAAACAAATCCTCGTGCCTCTTACCCCCCGCCCCTCTACCCCGTTCACTCTTATCTCCCCACCCAAGAAGGGGGCAAATGATAATTACAATCATAATTATTTCCAAAATGATTTTCGCTTTTTTTCCCCCGCGTGTTTTAGCAATAATCACTTAACAGGAGAGAGAGAGAGGGTGAGGCGGAGGGGTTAGTTAGACATTTTGAAATCCTGTTTTTCTAATCCGTCCTGCGTTGGGGAGATAATAAGAAGGCAGCACCCGCAGTCAGATGGCATCAGTGTGTGGAGAGGTGACACCCATCTCGAAATGCGATGGGCGAAGGGGGAGCCATACAGACACACAGACAGACAGGGAGCAGAGGCCTTCCACTTTTCAAGATGGACAGTCTTATAATTAGCTTAGAAAGTTAACATTAAGTTTAACAAGTTTGTAATAGAAGACAGGACCACAAAACTACTCTAGCTTTGCACCCATAGATTGATTAGTATTAAGTTAACAAGTTAGTGTTAAGAACAAAAGTTTTGACTAGAGGACAGACTTGAATTTTTGTCTTTTAAATTTTTCTAGTGTGATCCGCAAAAGTGCTTTAGGTTTTAAGAATCTGACGTTATAATGTGAATATTTAGTTACCGTATCATATCAAATACACAGGCCCGTCGGCAGAAATTTTGGGGGCCCTGGGCAAGAAGACTCACCTGGGCCCTCTTTAATATGAATTAACAGGAAGCGGGTACAATTCTGGGCCCCTAAATCCCTGAGGCCTGGGACAACAGACCCCTTTGTCTCCCCTGTCTAATGCTCTGCTTATACCTACTAATATGTATGCAGTAAATAAAACGTGGTAACATTTTTATATGCTTGATTTGGTCTGACTGTTGACTTGTGTAGGTCTGTGTATTTAAGTTAAATTGAGATCCAATAGTTTATAAAAATGGGAATTAAGATTGGATATACTTTTTTTTTGTAAGCTTCCAAGTACTTTACTATGCACACCAAAATAAGACAATTTTGCATTTTATTTATTTATTTTCTGCATATTTTTTGCATAATTATTTTGCAGTAGGCCTACCTGTTTTATTGTTACATGTCTTCAAAAATAACGTGTGCTTATGTAACCGTATGGTAATATAAAACTATAAAAATTATATAGCAGTGTATACAAGAGTTAATTGAGAATGATAAAAGACTAGCTCAAGATATTTAATAAGCATTCTGTTAAGATAAAAAGTTATAACTTGTGTGTAAATTGTTTTATATGGATGAATTTTGTTGTTTTTATGTAAAATATATTGAGAGTGAATAAGGAGTGAAAGTCTTCGGCTTCATTCTACTCCTTGTTAAACATCACGTTCTATATTATTAATATTTGAGACAAAAAAAATTTAATCATTTATTCAAAAGCTTAATTATATATGTAATGTTGTAACTATAATAACCTAAAACGGACTTCACTGAGTTAGAGGAAAATACAGACCAGTTTCCCTTTTTTTTTTTTTTTTTTTATGAATTATATCTGAAATCCAACCACATTTTCTTTACAGACAATATAATATTCTGTAATCATGCCCAGCATTTAGTCTGGCCCATATTGCTGAATTAGAACAGCTTTATTCATTGGACCCAAACATATTGTCTGCACATGAATTTACCACTATTAAGACGAAAACAGCTCTTTGTACTAATTGGGTTTATCGCATAGGCTATTTCTATAATTACACTTAAACCACCATAAGTCATACAGTTAATAATAAAATAATGGGGGGGTTTAGCTTACCTTTAAGATCCAGGCATTTCACACTGCCACCTACACAAGCACCCTGCTGTGAAGACAGAGAGAGAGACAGAGAGACAGAGTGAGAGAGAGGGAGGGAGAGAGAGGGAGGGAGGGAGAAAAGAGGTGTTAAAAATGGGAGAGGCGAGAACGCACACGGATAGATAGAATTTTGGCTCTATCTTAGCGCTAGTCACTCCTATGCACACACCACAGTAAGAAATGTCAAATAAGTTTAACTGATTTTAATAGACAATGGGATAGTAGAATAAACATAGAATTTTGAAATCAAATTTGTACGGTAATAAAGAATAAATAATGTAATACAGATATGGTCAAATCAGTCAAGACTGACATAACAGGAACAAACCAGATCTAAATAAGGATTTTAAAAAGACTAAACCAGTTCTAATAAACACTAAACTAGAAGCCAGGAGGTAAATGGGGTGACTCTACCAGGACTGAACCAGAACTAACCCTGGATTAAACCAGGACTAAATTTTATCACGGTTAAACTATACCGGATCTAAACTAGGGTCAAGTCAGGACTAAAAGCTGCACTACGTGACTTTTCTGATAGTGGGTCTGCCACACGCCTGTCTCTAAGAAGATGTTTTTGGTTTGGCTTGAAATGTTCCACAATATGTTATCTATGGAGACAAGCAGATCTGCTATGGTGAGAAAAAGGTCAAAACCAATTCAAAACGCAGTTCAAAACCAGGTCAAAACCAGGTCAAAATCAGATCAAAACCATGTGTAAACCAGCTCAAAACCAGGTCTAAAGCAGTTCAAAACATTTCAAAACCAATAAGGACTAAACCAAGACTAAACCAACGACAAAACTAAAACCAATTCAAAACCAGTTCAAAACCAATTCAAAACCAGTTCAAAACCAGTTCAAAACCAGCTCAAAACCAGCTCAAAACCAGCTCAAAACCAGCTCAAAACCTGTTCAAAACTGTTCAAAACCAACAAGGACTAAACCAAGACTAAACCAAAGACTAAACTAAAACCAATTCAAAACCAAATCAAAACCCAGTTCAAAACCAGGTCAAAACCAGATCAAAACCATGTGTAAACCAGCTCAAAACCAGGTCTAAAGCAGTTCAAAACATTTCAAAATCAACAAGGACTAAACCAAGACTAAACCAACGACTAAACTAAAACCAATTCAAAACCAGTTCAAAACCAGGTCAAAACCAGGTCAAACCCAGGTCAAATCCAGTCCACAACCAGCTTTAAAGCAGGTCTCTAATGCTCCTCATGTACTGGCCCTTGGTACATAATAGACTGGCGGCGTAGGGCCATGTGCCAGTGCATGAATTATGAATTTCACACAGTTTACCGGGGAGCTGACGGTGACACGGCGTCCTAATTAACCAGTGTATAATAATGAGAAACAGCTGGTCATCAGTTGATGTGTTCATTTGCTGGAGCCAGTGTTCCACATACATCTCATTTGACTGCATCACTCACCAGAGGAGGCAGGTCTGAGCGCGCCGACAGGGGGACAGATTTAGGGAGAGATTGACAGGCACAACAGGAAACAGGAAGGCAAATTAAAGGAGCTGCTCGGCTTTATGGATCACAATCAGTATGGGAATCCTAATGAGCAAAGCAGAGTGGTGGATGGGTGGCGTTTAATACAAGATATAGCACGCGTATTTAGGTTAATTAAACAGGTACGCATTCATAGCATTAGTCTTTCAGAGCTTGAGATGAAATGACATATTTGCCCTATATGATTTCCTTTCAAAACAGAGACTAAACAAGGACTAAACCAGGACTAGAATGGTACCATGATCAGTATGTTAATCCTAATGAGCAGAGTGTCGGATCGTCTCGTTTAATACAAGATAAAGCACACATATTTAGGTTAGTTAAACAGGTACTGTTAGGGCAAATAACCATGCTTAGGTGGTGTCTAACTACTGCTATGCTGCTATACAGTTATTCATGTACTGCTATATTTTATTATTGTACTATTATAATTCACTATACAATGACCCAGAAAACAGGGACTAGATTACAGCTGAGGGATGCAGAGATAGAATATCTTGTACATGAACTGAACCTATTTCTATCTATGTCTAATCAGTTACCTAAACAGAGCAAGGACTTGATTGATAAGGATATGCTGACCCACGACTCATCATCACCCTGATCAGACCAGCAGGACACTCCCGTAAGGGGAGTGAGATGAATCCAGGGGTGCAACATGCCAAGAGGCCTGGCTGGCCTGTGCGCCAACAAAGAGGCACTAAGTCTAAACCATGGTCGCTTCCCACTATAGTTTGCGTATAAAACTCATTGTAAAATTAAGTCTCTGCATGGGAATGTCAGCACAGACTTCTTGTACAAGTATGACTTTCTAATATTGGAATAAGTCAATTATCTGGACTTTATTTCCGTTTCAAGTGTAATTTTTTATCTAAGCAGAAACTAACGAACACGCGAGGAAAGGATTGTTTTCCTCAACAGTACACATTCAAAGCCTTAGTCTTTCAGAGGCCATATTTGTCCTATATAATTTCTAAACTAAAACCAGAACCAGAAAACCAGAAAACTAGAATGGGACCACAATCAATATGGGAATCCTAATGACCATGGTTATATATGAAGATACAGCACACATATTAAGGTTAAATGGCTCATATTGCGCTATTTCCTGATCTACTGTATGTTATAATGTTTCTTCATCAAATACAAACCTGGAGTTGTGTTTTGTTCATTCACACATATGTAACACACTTAAAAACTGCATATTTAGACTGAGTTCTTCTCTCAAACAGAAAACACTCTGTTCCAGCTTGTGAAATCATGTGGTAATACAGGAAGTGATCCACTGTGTTTTTAAACTCCATAGACCTTAACAAGAATAGTTGCGACAAAATGTAATGAAATAACATGGGGAATGGTCATTAAAGGCACTGTACCTGATATTTACAGCAGAACTAATGACATTTAAACAGTTTGCAGAGGTAATTTCTTATTTACCTTATGCATTCTGAGTATCAATTCAATTTCAATTCAATCTTTACTAAGATCATGTAATATTTGGTTCATAGTATTAAAAACAAAATAGTAAGAAAAACAAAGTTAAATACTGTGCATGTTATAATGTATACAGACAAGAGCGCCAGTGTCTCCACAGCTTAGAGGTGAATCTGACAGAGCTCCTCACAAGACACACTAGAGCTTCAATGATTTGATTGCTTAGATTCATGGCTCTACACATAAATGAATAAATACAACATCTGATTGTGACAGCACAGGGTCTCACGCCACAATTTACAAACATTTCACTGGCGCTACAGAACCTCAGCACTACCAGTAATATTCTCAAAGAGTCGTTATAGGCCACTGTCAAACTCTGCAAACTCTTTCTCTTGTAGTTGTGCCAAAGATCCTACTAGATGAGTATCCTAATTATTTACTACAATGAGTTTGTAAGTGCTTTTTCAAGATCAGAGAGGGGTTTTGTCGGTAAAGCTGACAGCAAATAGCACATTAACTCAAAAAAGTAACAGTAATAGCAGTAAATGTAAAGAAAATGTATTAAAGGACTCGTATTACACTATTTTCTGATCTACAGTATGTTATAATACTGTTTCCTCATTAAAAACATACCTGGACTTGTGCTTTGTTTCATTCACACATGTTCTTCTCAGCTTCTCAAACACCCAGTTCCACCTTGTGATGTCATGTGGTAATACAGGAAGTACTCTACTGTGTTTTTAAACGGCATACACTTTCACAAGAATCATTTGGATAATTTCAGCCCTGGTATTGCCAATCTCTGTTGAACAAAAAGTAAAAGGAAGTCGTTACCTTAAAAACTACAGCTTCATGACATCACAAGGTGGAACGGGCATTTATAGTTTTGGAGATATAGACAGACTAATAATAAAGGATTACTCAAACATGTGTGAATGAAACAAAACATAATTCCAGGTATGTTTTTGAGGAGGTAACAGCATTATAACATGTCTTAAAGCTCACAAGAGTCAATTTTGCGTAACTTTTAATACACTATTAGTTCATTATGAATTAAATTTTTTATCAGCTATATATAGTGTTGTATAAAGCATTACCAATATTTCTGGCCTGGCTGTGTGAATACCTCCTTCATATTGCGATTGCTTCACTTCCTTGCTAAATATGATTCATTGTTCAAAGGGACAAGCGGAGTACAAAAGGAAAAAAAAAAAAAAAAATCTGTTCTGTTCAGCGAGAGACAGTACAGTCGCCATAATGCACTGAAAGAATTAGACACATCAATGGAACATAAATTGCAGTGTTTATGTATATACAAGAAGCTGCTGTGTAATTGGGAAAGGTGGTTGCATTTCCGCCCTTAATCATCTTAACAGACACACTCATACATACAAATATAGAGCGCGCTATAATGAATCAGGTTGAAGATGTATTTTAGGATTCAGAGCATGCATCAAGTATGGATTTCGGTGACAGTTGCAAAGAAAGGCATATGAACTCGCTTCTTTGTTCAAAACTTGGGAAAATGTGTAAACACTGGTGAGCATTTATCAAAACAGACGCGAAGATGTGTTATTATTTAAAAGTAAGAATAATAAATCCTCTTGAAGTAAATTGGTAGTTCTCAAAAGCGTGCCGTTTGTCCGATGAATAATAGAACACAATAGAAATGGTAGTTATGATGGAAAATGTATTGTGAGTGAAAATACAGGTTTTGTACTAAAGCAATGCAATACTTAGTGTAGAGTAGAACAGTGACCATGGCGTGAAATCATCTCTTTTTTTCAAATATTTTGTTTTTATGAATGCCAAATTATTACAGTCAGTTCATTTTGAGATAGTATTTAAATGTAGTTATTTTATTTCTGAATATTTTCAAGAAAGTGCAACTTATAGCCTCCATACTTAGAAAGACAAAATGCACACTTAATGAAGAGAGAAAATAAATAGGTTAAAAGGAGTAGGAAGAAGCAACTTATTTAAATGTTATATACCCCTAATTTACAATATATCTGATTGCAAATTAATGTCAGCCTTCAAATTATAGTTAAA